TGTTTGCTTGGTATATTTTTTCCATTCTTTGAGTTTTAGTTTGTATTTTTACGTCTAAGGTGTGTCTCTTGTAGGCAGCATATAGATGGATGTTTTCTTATCCAATCTGCCACTCTCTGTCTCTTTATTGGTGCATTTAGTCCATTTACATTCAGTGTAATTATTGATAGGTATGAGTTTAGTGCTGCCATTTTGATATCTTTTTTTGTGTGTTGTTGACAGTTTCTTTGTTCCACTTAATTTTCTGTGCTGAGTCATTTTTATTTACGTATTTTCTTTTCATCTTTTTCATTGTTGTTGATTTTGTATTTGCTGAGTTTTTATATTTTTCTTGTTTTTTATTTTGATGTGTAGGATTGTTAGTTTCCTTTGTGGTTACCTTAATATTTACCCCTATTTTTCTAAGTTTCTGCCAGTGTTTTATTTCTTTATATCACCTTGACTTCCTCTCCATATGAAAAACCTATGTCTACATTTTTTATCTCTTTTTTGTTTTAACGTTGTCATCTTTTACATATTGACATCTCTGTTTCCCTATTTTCAGTATTTTAGCTTTCATTTATTTTTGTGACTTCCCTATCTGGGTTGATATCTGGTTGCTCTGTCCTGTGTTCTAGTCTTGGGTTGTTATCCGATGTTATTGATTTTCTAACCAGAGGACTCCTTTTAGTATTTTTTGTAATTTTGGTTTGGTTTTTGCAAATTCCCGAAATTTCTGTTTATCTGGAAATGCCCTTAGTTCACCATCATATTTGAGAGACAGTTTTGCTGGATATACAATTCTTCGCTGGCCATTTTTTTCCTTCAAGGCTTTATATATGTCATCCCATTGCCTTCTTGCCTGCATGGTTTCTGCTAAGTTGTCTGAGCTCAGTCTTATTTACTCTCCTTTGTAGATTACTTTTCATTTATCCTTAGCTGCTCTTAAAATTCTTTATCTTTGGTTTTGGCAAGTTTGATTGTAGTATGTCTTGGTGACTTTATTTTGGGATCTACTTTATGTGTGGTTCGATGAGCATCTTGGATAGATGTTTTCTCATTTTTCATAATATCAGGGAAGTTTTCTGCCAACAAATCTTCAACAGTTCTTTCTGTATTTTCTATTATCTCCCCCTCCCCCCCATTCTGGTACTCCAATCACTCGTAGGTTATTCTTCTTGATAGAGTCCCACATAATTCTTAGGGTTTCTTCATCTTTTAAAATCCTTTTATCTGATTCTTCCTCAAATAAGTTGGTGTCAAGTGCTTTATCTTCAATCTTAGTAATTCTGACTTCCATTGCCTCAATTCTGTGCCTATGACTTTCTGTTGAGTTGTCTAATTGTGAAATTTTATTGTTAATCTTCTGGATTTCTGATTGCTGTCACTCTATGGATTCTGCAGCCTGTTGTCATTATGCTCTTCTCTAATCTCTTTAAGTTCCTATATTACTTTGTCTGTGTGTCCCTTGGCTTAGTCTGCATTTTGCCTGATCTCCTTCCTGATTTCTTGAAGAGTTCTGTATATTAATCTTTTGTAATCTGCCTCCAATAATTCCAAGAAATTCTCTTCCTCTGGAAAATTTCTTATTTTGGGAACTTGCTGAAGCCATCATGGTTTGCCTCTTCACGTGATTTGATATTGACTGTTGTCTCCGAGCTATCAATACGTTATTATATTTGTTTGCTTACTGTGTCCTTCTTGTTTTGTTTTGATATGCCCAAATAAGCTGCTCGTGTGAGCTAGTTTCATTATTGGCACCTGTGAAGCTCTAACGTCCTGTCACCAGGTGGTTAGATCTGTTACCAAGTATGTGAGCCCAGTAGTGCATTTACTTTTCTTGTATGGATTCAGTTCAGGTGTCCAGGTAGTCGGTCACCATGTGTGTGGTGCAGGCTCTCACCCACATTCCTAGACAGGCATGGGTGATTGGTGTAGGCACAGGTATCTGGCTGCTGTAGGGGGTCACATGCTGAGCAATGCAGGGGGCTGATGGCTGCCTCTGTCTGGGAGGAAAGTATGTCCCTGTTCCCTAGAGTGCATAGGTGGGTGGGTTTTGCAGCCGGACTATGGGCACCCAATGCTGTTGGCTATAAGGACCAGGGGGCACCACTTATTCTTGGACCCTTGTTGCGAGTGGCTAGGTGGCATGGTTGGAGCCACCAGTCCTCAGGCCCGATACAGGCAGGTGAGGAACCTGCTTAGTGGGCAGAGGGGTGTCCAATGTCACGAACCTGCCACTTCACAGCTGAAACAGTTGAAGTTAGACTTCAGGTATATACCCTGTTGTACTGTGGTAATGAGGGCTGTTGAAATGGGTCCACACAATCTATGCCAGAGTGAAAGGCATCCAAAGTCCATGGATCCCTTATGCCTGTGCCTAGGCTCAAGAGCTGTGCCTACCCTTAGTTCCTGGCTTAGGGGAACAGGCAGATAATTTTTTCCCTATTTGTTAATTTGTTCCCTCTCCAAGGCTGAGAGAATGGCTCAGGGCACATGATGGGTCCTACTTCCAGCCTAGTGGACTCAGCAATTGCTGAAGCCAGCCCAGGACCTGATGCAGAGTGGGGAGGGGGGAGGTAAATGGGAGTGAGGTTTTTCCGAAAGGGGGTGTTTTTGATCCACACAGTAGGCCAGATGCAAGTACTTATCTTGTCGACTGAGTGCTGCTTTTCACTGGTTCTGGCTGTCCAAGTAGATTCTCTTCGGCTGGGTCTCTTTCAGTATGGAAGATGTGTCCCAAGCACCACTGCTTGCCTCACTGTACACACAAGCCGATTCAGCCTCCAAACCGTCTCTCCCTCCCCCTGCCACTCAGTCCGATTCCTCAACTTTGCCTTCGGTGTTCAGGGCCCCTAAATTGTCGTACATAATAGATTCAGTTGTTTTTTTCATGTCTTTTTTGTAAGAGGGACCACAGGAAGCTTCTGAGTACTCCACAATCTTGGCCCCGCCTCCTGTTTAAACATATTTTTGACTTATGTTTTTATTTGACTTGTGTTAAAAACCATTTGCAATTACAAGTGGGAAAGATGTAATATTCTGGATGGTGAATGACTGATCGATGTTATCACAGCTGCCCAATCATAGCAAAACAGGTTTAGAGGGGCAAGTCTTAATACATATATAACTACACTGACATTACAGAAGTTTGGCTGAAAGTGAAGCATGGCAATACTCATCTTTATTTTGTGGAAGGTAATAACTTTTAAGTGTTGGCTTCCTACTTTGCAGATGTATTATTCATTCATTTTGTAAAGCCAGACAAAGCTAAGATAAATGACCAGAAACAATCTAAAAGATACTGGGGCTGGATCATGCCCCATCATTGTTATATTTTTCCCATCACTGTTACATTGCTCAAATTAGAATACCTAAAATCAGGATACATAATTAAATAACAACAGATCAGGCTCTGGGAATTCATTTTCTGTGCTATAATTCTTTTAATAGACGATTGAGCTCAATTTACTGACACTTTATTTGGAATTTTTGCACTATCTTAGTGAAATTGGTCCAGATTTTGCTTTTTAGGGGCTATCGTCACCTAATTTTACTAACAGGATATTTGCCAGAGTGATCTGGCAAAAATTTGTTAGAGGTTATCTATTCTTTAAAGCATTTTACTACCTGCAAAACAATCAGATTCTAGGGCTTTTTGTTTTTAATAATAACTACATTAACATTCTTTCCTTTATAGGTCTTACCAGATTTTTGGTAGTGTCTTCAGTCAATATTGATGATTTAAGTTTCTCTAATTTGTTCTATTTTTGTACATATTAGAATACATGTATGCAGTATTATCTTATAATTAAAATTCCTTGATACATGTAGTTATTTCAATTTCCCATACATAAAGTTGAAACTAACATTTTTCCCCTCAATAAAAAAAAAACAAACTTGTTGCACTTGAATTGATTCCGACTCATAGCAACTCTATAGGACAAAGCAGAACTGCCCCATAGGGTTTCCAAGGAGTGGCTGGTGGATTCGAACTACTGACCTTTTGGTTAGCAGCTGTAGCTCACTGTAACTTTTAACCAGTGTGCCAGCAGGACTCTTCTATATTAATGGTTAAGAAAACATCCTTGGACAAAAGCCCATTATTTCATGAATTTCTACTTTTATTATATGAATTACTTTGTTACTTAGCTTAGGTTTTTCTTTTAAATTATTTTTCTGGCTTAAGTTAGCACATTTACCAATTGTTATGTGACAGGTATCAGGTGTAGGGACAGAATGGTAAACAAGACAAATACTGGTTCCTCAATCCAGCTTTTCTGAATGCATTAAGTTTTGAAATTTCTATCTAACAGAGCTATGGCAACATCCCACAAATTTTTATCTGTAGGCACCAAATTATCATTCATCTCTAAATAGTCTAAAATCTCAGATTTGATATTATACCTTAAAAGAAAACTTTATTAGGGAAATTTTCAAATACATGTAAAGGTAGTAAGAACAGCACAATGAACCCTGTGTATCCATTATCTACTTTCAACACTTACCAACATTTTGCCAATCTTGTTTCACCTATTCCTTCTTTTTTTTCCTGAAGTATTTTAAAGCAAATCAGACATGACATAATCTCATCCTTGAATAATTCAATATGGACCTCTAACATATAAGGATTATACATACACATACACACACACACACATATGAGCACAATGCCATCATACCTAACAAAATGAAAACTGTTTATCATTTAAAACAGTCCATGTACCTTTCAAGTCCCCTCAAATTTTAATTTATTCATTCAAATCAAGAGCCAACGCATTCCCTACACTGTATTTGATTGATATGTCACTTAAGTCTCTTATTTTGTAACAAATTCTTCGTTTTCATTTTCCCATGACATGTACTGGTTAAGACACTAGGTCCTTTGTTCTGTAGAATATCTCATATTCTACATTAGGTTGTTTGCTTCCTTGAGTCATTAGTTTACTCCTTTATTGCCCAAGTTTCCTATAAACTGGTAATTAGATTTAGAGACTTAATTATAATTATTATATTTTTACACTATGAATTTTCAGGTGATGGGTAAGATGTGAATGTTGTCTAAAGGCCTTCTTACATTCCTTACATTCATAAGGTTTCTCACCAGAATGAATTCTCAGATGTTGAATAAGGGATGAATTGAGTCTAAAGGCCTTCCTACATTCCTTGCATTCAAAGGGTTTCTCACCAGTGTGAATGCTCTGATGTAAAGTAAGTTTTTGGCGCAATCTAAAGGCTTTCCCACATTCCTTACATTTATAAGGTTTCTCACCAATATGAATACTCTGATGCTGAGTAAGTTGTGAGAGCAGTCTAAAGGCCTTCCCACATTCCTTACAGTCATAGGGTTTAACACCAATATGAATACTCTGATGTGAAATAAGTTGTGAGTAACGACTAAAGGCCTTCCAGCATTCCTTACATTCATAAGGTTTCTCACCGGTATGAATTCTGTGATGGAGAATAAGATGATAACCACGGCTGAAGGTCTTTCCACATTCCTTACACTCATAGGGTTTCTCACCAGTATGAATTCTCTGATGGAGAGTTAGTTGTTGTCGAACTCTAAAGGCCTTCCCACATTCCTTACATTCATATGGTTTCTCACCAGTATGAATTTTGTGATGTACTCTAAGGCCTGAGCCACACAAAAAGGCTTCCCCACATTCTTTACATTCATAGAGTTTGTCAGCAATATTAAGTTTCTGATGTCGAGTAAGGTGTGCATATTGTCTGAAGGCCTTCCCACATTCTTTACATACATAGGGTTTCTCACCAGTATGAATCCTCTGATGGAGAGTAAGCTGTCCACGCACTCTAAAGGCCTTCCCACATTCTTTACATTCATAGGGCTTCTCACCAATATGAATTTTCTGATGAACTCTAAGGTCCGGGCCACACACGAAAGCTTCTCCACATTCTTTACATTTATACAGTTTTTCACCAGAATGAAGTCTCTGATGTCGAGTAAGGTGTGCGGTTTGCCTAAAGACCATCCCACATTCCTTACATTCATAGGGTTTCTCACCAGTATGAATTCTGTGATGAAAAGTAAGTTGCTGTCGCACTCTAAAGGCCTTCCCACATTCTTTACATTCATAGGGTTTCTCAACAAAATGATTTCTCTGACGTGGAGTAAGAGATGTGTGTTTCTGGTTAGAGGACACTTTTTCAGGGGTGATGTTCACTTGACTGAAATATCCCTCTTGAGGTCCCTCTTGTCCTTCAAATTTGCTTTTATATTCCCAATCATTTTTTAAAACAAGGCTTGTAAGGCCATGGTTTTTCATTCTTTCCATTATCTTCCACTGTGATAAATTTATTTCATAAATATCATTTTCTGAAAATAACTTCTTGGTCTCATATCTGGTCTCCAAATCTGAAAGAACACAGAGAGTAAACATATGCTGTTTTCTTGTTCTAAAAGAAGTAAAATTTCTATGCTAGAAATAAAAGATAATCAAAGTAATGCCCAAATGAACTCTAATACAGTGTCATGCAATTTGGAAAAAAAAAAAAGCATAGAAACTACAGGAATGAGAGTTCACATAAGATAATGAGGTTGGAGATTAAGTAAATAATTTAAATCAAAATACAAAAACCAATAGCTTTCATATATAAATTTAGTAATAAGATATAATGGGGGTTAAAAAAAAAAAGAAGATCCTATTCACAATAGTAAAAAGGGTAAACTTAAAAATATATACATAGCTTTTATGAGGAAAATTTTGAAACACTTATGAAGCATCTGGCATTATACTTCCTAAAGAAATCACAAGAGGGAGATTATGCTGTACAAGGTGAGACCAGCCTACCACGGCTGTTCACACCTGAGTAGCTGTCGGGCAATGAATGGGTGTGGGGACTGGCAAACAACAGGGTAAATGCCATGTTCAAAGCGGCCAGGTGGATTTAATCCCGTACATTATCTCCATTAGTTAGGCAGCAACTATTAGTGTCTGCTCCAGAGGAAGCAATAGGTAAGGGGGTTAGGATATGAAAGATGCACTAGTAGCTGGTCATGTCCTGAGGATACAGCCACAGCCACAGGCCCAACTGGCAATGCACCTCACAAGAGACAACTGTTTGGTCCAAACTAGTTTAAGCCAGCTATACTTTTGCCTGAAAGCACCAGATTTAATCAAAGAATAAGTAAACCCATGAATAACTGGGAAAAGATAGCTGATTCTATGAAAACGAAAAACTGGTCATAAATACACATTACTAAACATCACACTGTCAAAAATTAAGTGTGGAAGGGAGAGCAGCAACAGATTGGGGGAAAACATAAGAATCAACAAGTATTCTGTATTCATACAGAGGATGTATGTATCAGGCCCTAATCTCTCTCTTGGTTTGCACTCGACTGTTAGCCTAAAGGTTTGTGGTCTGAACACATCCAGTGGCACAGCCTATGGAGTAGTTCTCCTCTGTAACACATGGGGTTGCTGTGAGTCAAAATCAGCTTGAGGGTAACCACCACCACCATCAACAATCTCTCCCTGAGTTCCAGGGAAGGTATATTCAACCTCCTACTCAATATCTCAAACTGGATGAATGACAGACATCTTAAACTTAAAATATCCAAAAACAGAACTCTATCTTCCAACTGCTGTTTTTATTTTCTCCATATCAGTAAATCATTCACCCAGCTGTTCAAGCCAAAAGACCCTTGTCTCCTCCTTGAGACCACCACTCATCTGTCAGTTTGTCATACTGTGGTGGCTTCTGTGCTGTTGTGATGCTGGAAGCTTTGCCACTGGTATTTCAAATACCAGCAGGGTCAACTATGGTGGACAGGTTTCAGCTGAGTTTTCAGAGTAGGAAGAAGGATCTGACATGTTACTTCTGAAAAAACTAGCCAGTGAAAAGCATATGATTAGCAGCGGAACACTGTCTGATAAGAGTGCAAGAAGATGGGCCCCTCGGGTTGGAGGGCACTCAAAATATGACTGGGGAAGAGCTGCCTCCTCAAAGTAGAGTTGACCTTAATGATGTGGATGGAGCCAAGCTTTTGGGACCTTCATTTGCTGATGTGGCATGACTCAAAATGAAAAGGAAATAGCTGAAAACATCCATTAACAATCAGAACATGGAATGTATGCAGTATGAATCTAAGAAAACTGAAGTCATCAAAAATGAGACAGAACACATGAAGACCAATATCCTAGGCATTAGTGAGCTGAAATGGACTGGTATTGGCCATTTTGAATCAGACAATCACATGGTCTACTATGCCAGGAATGACAAGTTGAAAAGGAATGGCGTTATAGTCATCATCAAAAAGAACATTTCAAGATCCATCCTGAAGTACAATGCTGTCAGTGACAGGATAATATCCATAAGCCTACAAGAAGACCAGTTAATAGACTATTATTCAAATTTATGCACCGACTAGGAATGCCAAAGATGAAGAAACTGAAGATTTTTACGAACTTCTGCAGTCTGAAATTGATCAGATATGCAATCCAGATGCATTGATAATTACTGATGATTGGAATTTGAAGTTGGAAACGAAGTATCAGTAGTTGGAAAACATGTCCTTGGTAAAAGAAACAATGCTGAAGATCATGTGATAGAATTTTGGAAGACCAATGACTTCTTCATTGCAAATACCTTTTTTCGACAACAAAAATGGAGACAATACACGGGGACCTTGCCAGATGGAATACACAGGAATCAAATCGACTACATCTGTGGAAAGAGATGACAGAAAAGCTCAATATCATCAGTCAGAACAAGGCCAGGGACCAACTGCGGAACAGATCAATTGCTCATATACAAATTCAAGTTGAAGCCGAAGAAAATTAGAACAAGTCCATGGGAGCCAAAATACAACCTTGAGTACTTCCCACCTGAATTTAGAGACTATCTCAAGAACAGATTTGACGCATTGAACACTACATGACCAAAGACCAGATGAGTTGTAGAATGACATCAAGGACATTATACATGAAGAAAGCAAAAGGTCGTTAAAAAGACAGGAAAGAAAGAAAAGGTCAAAATGGATGTCAGAAGAGACTCTGAAAGTTGCTCTTGAACATTGAGTAGCTAAAGCAAAAGGAAGAAACGATGACGTAAAAGAGCTGAACGGAAGATTTCAAAAGGCAGCTCGAGAAAGACAAAGTGAAGTATTATAATGAAATGTGCAAAGACCTGGACTTAGAAAACCAAAAAGGAAGAGCATTCTCAGCATTTCTCAAGCTGAAAGAACTGAAGAAAAAATGCAAGCCTCGAGTTGTACTATTGAAGGATTCTGTGGATGACACAGGAAGCATCAAAAGGAGATAGAGGGAATACACAGAGTCACTATACAAAAAGAATTGGTTGGTGTTCAACCATTTCAGGAGGTAGCATATGATCAAGAACCTATGGTACTGAAGGAAGAAGTCCAAGCTGCACTGAAGGCACTGGGAAAAAACAAGGCTCCAGGAATTGATGACATACCGACTGAAATGTTCAACAAACGGATGCAGCGCTGGAAGTGCTCACTCATCTATGCCAAGAAATTTGGAAGACAGCTACCTGGCCGACTGACTGGAAGAGATCCATATTTATGCCTATTCCAAAGAAAGGTGATCCAACTGAATGCAGATATTATCGAACAATATCATTAATATCACAGGCAAGTAAAATTTTGCTGAAGATCATTCAAAAGTGGTTGCAGCAGTATATTGACAGGGAACTGCCAGAAATTCAGGATGGATTCAGAAGAGGACCTGGAGCCAGGGACATCACTGCTGATGTCAGATGGATCCTGGCTAAAAGCACAGCATTCCAGGAAGATGTTTAACTGTGTTTTACTGACTACGCAAAGACATTCGACTGTGTGGGCCATAACAAATTATGGATAACATTGCAAAGATTGGAATTCTAGAACACTTAAATGTACTCATGAGGAACCTGTACCTAGATCAAGAGGCAGCTGTTCTGACAGAACAAGGGGATACTGTGTGGTTTAAAATCAGGAAAAGTGTGCATCAGGGCTGTATCCCTTCACTATATTTATTCAGTCTGTATGCTGAGCAAATAATCTGAGAAGGTGGGCTACATGAGAAAGAACACAGCATCAGGACTGGAGGAAGACTCATTAACCACCTGCGATATGCAGATGACACAACCTTGCCTGCTGAAAGTGAAGAGGACTTGAAGCACTTACTGATAAAGATCAAAGACTTCCTTATGGATTATACCTCAGGATAAAGAAAACAAAAATCCTCACAACTGCACCCATAAGCAACATTATGATAAATGGAGAAAATACTGAAGTTGTCAAGGATTTCATTTTACTTGGATCTACAATCAATGCCCACGGAAGCCGAAGTGAGGAAATCAAATGACGTACTGCATCGACAAGCCACTGGCCAGACTGACAAAAGAAAAACAGGAGAGGACGCAAATAACACAAATAAGAAATGAAATGGGGGACACTACAACAGACCCAAATGAAATAAAAAGGATCATAACAGAGTATTATGAAAAACTATACTCCAACAAATTTGAAAACCTAGAGGAAATGGATACATTTCTAAAAACACACTACCCACTCAAACTATCACAAAGTGATGTTGAAAATCTGAACAGACTCATAACAAGAGAAGAGACTGAAAAGGTAATAAAAAACCTCCCAACAAAAAAAAGCCCTGGCCCAGATGACTTCACTGGAGAATTCTACCAAACCTTCAGAGAAGAGCTTTTACCAATACTCCTTAATCTATTTCAGTACACAGAAAAGGAAGTGACAGTTCCGAATTCACTCTATGAAGCCAGCATAACTCTGATACTAAATCCAAGCAACGGTGCCACAAAAAAAGAAAATTACAGACCA